TTCTGGAATCTCCATCAGGGAAATTCACAGAAAAACGTGAAGATGCGGGGGAGAATAGGTCAGGAGTCCGAAGTCTTTGACCCAAGTGTGCTTAGACCTTTGTCATGCCCAGTTCATTCCTCAGGATGTTCTCAGCTCCCTCTAAGAGATGTCTTCTGTATTCTCTATGTGACTTGTGAGTCGTCAATAATCCATAATTATCGGATTATGACATACTCGGGCTGCGATGGGTAACTCGGGTCGGGTGGGTCCTGAGTAGGACTCGCATACCCACAGGACTATTCAGACCCATGGTTAGTCACGTGATCTTTGTGTAATGACACAATTAAAACTCTTTGGTTACACTATAAGTCACTAATGGTCCCATTTCTTTCTGACAATGCACCCATTCCTTCTGACTTTTATATGTTTGAATAAAGATAAAACTTCATGCAGTAAACTTCAGTGTATGCATGACCAGATCGTTTTACATGTGTATCTTATTACATTTTGCCAGGGCTACGGTCAAACTTTTCCAAATCGGACAGATTGTACCTATCTCTAAATATCTACACCGGGTACCCGGGTTGGGTCTGGTAATAGGGTGGTGGGTTCCTGGACTCGTCCCAGCCCTATAACATTCATGTATTTTATCATGTTGGTTGGTTTGTTGTTTTACGTCGCACTCAGCAATATTTCAGCTATATGACGACATTCTGTAAATAATCGAGTCTGCACCAGAAAATCCAGTGATTGATATCATGAGCATTGATCCAGGCAATTGGGATCGAAGACATGTTTCAACCAAGTCTGTGATCCGTCAAGCATGGTCGGCTTTTCGACAAGCATGGGTTGCTGAAGACCTATTCTACCCCGGATCTTCACGGGTCTGTATTTTATAAAAAAAAAAAATGTCTTTAGTGACAATAGCTGAAGGTCTTCCTTGTCTTGGCATATGTTTGAGGCCCTCTCTTCCCCTTTTTGAACTCTTCTGTCAACTTTTAGCAACAGGAAGGAGCACCATGCCCTAAAGTTGACACCACGACTGTCTTGTTGGGTTTTAGATTATCTCGAACTCTAGACTAGTAGGGCTATTTTCACTATTGCGATTGTTTGGCAATAGTAGCCAGCACTATTGAAATAGTGTTGCGATTGTTGTCAACTACCGTGGTAGTTTTGTGAAGGTAGTAACCCAGCTTACAGGCTTGAGTAATTAAGTCATCAATGTTATAGAAATCAATAAAGTATTGTCGACAATGTCAAGTTTGACCATTGTCCTCCCTGGCGCTTCTCAATGTAACTAAGGTGTCATCCTTGCTGATCAAGAAACTGCAGGTTTGAAATTAGACTGTCAAAAAACTTTCTTACCATTGTTTGTTATATTTATAACTAATTGCGAATATAGAAAATGTCAATTATTATGCATACTATCAAAAATACTATTAGCGGTTTTACATTCCTATCGATATAGTGCAGTCGATAGTTCGATATATCGTTACACTCCTAAAAAGTAACTTCCTCTGGTGCGCGTCACAAAGTCGCGTAACCATAGGTAACAAATATCATCAGCGTAAGAAATTGGCACTAGTCCTATAGTCCTGCCAAGCTGCCCAATAGTTAAGGCAGTGTTAGAAATTGGCACTGGTCCTGTAGTCTTTGCCAAACTGCCCAATAGTTGAGGTATCATAAGGACTAGTAGAAATCTGTCCTTTTTAAGGGTTTTGCGATATGTTATTATAAGGACCAGTGGGCTAAAACTGTTAGTTTCTATCATGTTTTTACCAAGAAACCTGTTCTATTATTTCTTAATATGGACAGAAAATTGATTGAAGCTAGGTGTGTCTGATAGTCCTCAAGCGGTAGAAATCACTTCCTGAATTCTCATCCGTATGAAATCAAAGTGAGGATGTTTTATCCACTGCGTGCAAACGAGCGTCACTGGTTACATCGAGTGTGTTGCACGGTGTTGTAGAACTCAGTTTAAGTTGAAGGTATTGATTTATTATCATGGTTAATTAATCCTGCAGAGAAAAAAAAATTAATTAGTTTCAATGGGATCAATTAGAGAGACAAGACACCTTATAATGAAGGTGTGTTGCCTTATAGCGAGGTTGTATTGATATGGAATTAACAAGAAAGAGACAAAAGTCTTTTGGATATTTTAATGAGATTTATCATCTTTGGCGTCATAAGGGATGTCATTGTTAATTGAGATATTGTTGTATTGGTATATTTATAATGTTGGTGCTGTATTGATACAAATTTATGACTATTGATACTAATTTGAAAATTCACTGCCTCAGAAATGTTTAGTTAATTACATCTATTAAGTTTACCTTGTGTGACGGGAATAACGAGGACGCAGAAAATTCAATTTAAAACATTTAATTGATCAGCTGAGTTAAAATTTAGAATTGAATTAATTAAATTCAGGGCTACATAGGTCTAAGTATTTGATACCATACACATGAAAAGGAATAATTATACTTTTTGGAGTTGTTATTGCAATGCTAAAAAATTCAATTCATGGCTACATGATATCCTTTTGTCTCTTTACCAAATTTTGAAAGAAATATCTAGGATGTCTTTGATGGCAGTCAGACCTAGAATTTAACAGATCTTGATATTCAGTCACCGATACAACTGTCCATGCCAAAACCTTATGAGGCTTCGACTGAATTTGGTTGTTCTAACACCACACTGAGCAATATTCCAGCTGTATGTCTGTAAATAATCCAGTCTGGACCAGACAATCCAGTGATTGATATCACACACACACCCCTCAATTGGGGTACAGACACAAGCAGTCTACCAAGTCTTGACCTCGGTCCACAAGATCCATTTAGTCGCTGCTTGTGGTTGATTAATTAATACCTTGGGCCACGGGTGGCCCAGTCATCTGAGGCGCCGTGTTTCGCTGTGCAGAGTTGCGTCCCTTGGGCACACCAGAAACCTATGATTGTGGGTTCAAATCCCAGTTCACCCTGATTATGTTTCTAGGTTTTTCAGAACCGTACCCGTGCTCGTGGGTTTCATTGAAGTGGTAAACGTCTGAGACCTGCATCACTTCGGGCTTTCCTCCCACATTAAGCTGACACACCATGATATAACTGGAATAATGTTACAAACTGTTACTCACTAAATTAATACCTCTGAAATAAAGAAAAATGGATCTGTATAACAAATCTTAATTTTGAACACAATAAGCCTATCACCTATTTTTCCCCATTGTGTACTAAGAGCACCTAGTTTGGATGTCTAAATGATCCCAGGTTGGTTGTCCAACACATACTGCACGGCCTTGTCATCAGTGAAATATCAGTCACTGTGCCCTGGGCTGAGTGATTAGGACACACACTGACTTAGTATCAGAGTTCTCCCATTTTGTTTTGCCTGGAACCTTTTCATCGGAAATGAGTTTTTTGTATAACATGATATATTCATTGTACTACATTTTCTCCAATACATCCCCCCAACCCACCTCAATCTTTACTTTAATTGGGATTTTCTTCTTCTTTTTGAACTGGGATTTTTTGATGTCGTTATCGCTGGTTCTTTACATGCAATTTTTGTCTCTAAAAGGAGAAGCATAAATGTTTTTAGGCACCTCGACACATTTTTTTCAGAACATCAAGCATATCCTGTGGACAGTCATTGTTGTAAATTTACCTCAAGGCCCAATCAGTGTTTGAATGAGTGAGTGAGTTGGGTTAAATGCCGCTTTTAACAGTATATCCAGTTATATCACGGCGTGTCAGCCTCCTAGTGTTTGAAATAAAAGAATATCCAGGCTGCTGTGAGGTCCCACAGCTTCTTGTGACAGATAACTCAAGGCCGTGAGGAATATGCAAATTTGAAACTTGTGTCCGATACGAAATCTACCTGCTACAAGCAGGCACTCACTTTGAACACTGGCCCAATTTTTTACATACATGTATACCGTCAGCAGTAGCAACTTCTTTGTTTTTGTTTTGTTTGTTGTTTTACACCACATTCAGCAATATTCCAGCTATAAGACGGCGGTCTGTAAATAATCGTGTCTGGACCAGATGATCCAGTGATTGACATCATGAGCATCAATCCACACAATTGGGATCGATGACATGCATCAACCAAGTCTACAAGTCTGACCACCCGATCAGATTTAGCAGGTCCCTTAAAAATGGCAAATTTTTACTATTCCTCATGATATCTTAACTATTTGACAGTTTGGCGAGGACTACATGACTAGTGCCAATTTCTAATGCTGTCTATCTGACACAAAACTACTATCAAAGACTTCTTTTGCCCAGATTAAAAAACTTAGGTTCCTGCGAATGTCAACATTGGTTAACTATTGTACTATGAGTGTTTAACAGTTCCAGTGTGCCTTTCTTTTGTCCGCAGGTATGACGACACTGCTGAGATCATCAGTACCATGATACTGTTTGGCACAAAACTGCTTTTAATGTTTTTCTGTTGCCCAGATTAAAAAGTAGTTAGATAAGACTTCTGTTTACCAAGTCCAGTATGACTTTTTGTCCCCAGATATTGAGACGATACTGACATTATCAATACCATTACTCGGTTCCAAGGTGAAATTTCATGAAAATGTGAAGCTTTTGGTGTTGATATGCCAAATACCTCCATTAGCAATACACGGATACTGTGTCACTGTGACATAAAACTGCTTTTAAGACCTTTATATATTGCCCAGATTAATAGTTAGCTTACTGTGCTCGTTAAAATTGATTACCCATTGTAAAACTAGTGTTTAACAATTCAAATGTGACCTTTTTGTGCTCTGATATTGAGACGATAGTGACACTATCAATACCGTTACTCTATTCCAAGTTAAATTTCATGAAAACATGAAGCTTTTGGTGTTGATATGCCAAATACCTCCATTAGCAATACACAATACTGTGTGCCATTACTGCTTTTAAAGACTTATATTGCCCAGATTAAAAGCGTTTTCTGTGAATGTTCACATTGGTTAATGCTTGTGTTTACCCATTCCAATGTTCCTTTTTTGCCCCCAGATATCGAGACAATACCGACTACAGTCCCAGAAGGCACCCCATTACCCATTGAAGCACAGTCAGTCGAAAACTTTGGTTCCTGGGTTCCCACTCCAAGTAAATCATCATCGTCAGGCCGATTTGGTAAGGGATGTTTATCAACTCTTATTGTAGGGAAGAGAATTAAAATCATATTACTTATTCTAGGTCCGTTTTTGTAAGTCCAACAATCGCTTAACGTTTCATTTGACCTTGAGATTCCTGGTACTTTGACCTTGACCTTGACACTTGACCTTGCCCCTTCTGTTGTTGGAAAAAGGGGTCCTTATGTTTTGCTGCTGTAGTATTTTAAAGTAGGGTCCCTATCAATCTGTAACTTTCATATATAGTCTTAACATTGAGATCATGACAAGGCCAGCTTGTGTTCCAACAATCGCTTAACTGAAGATCTGACCTTGAGATTCCTGGTACATTGACCTTGACATGCCTGTCACCCTGACCTTGACCTTGTCCCTTTGTTTTTGGAAAAAGAGGTCCTTGAAGTATTTTAAAGTAGGGACGCTCTGAATCTTTAGCTTTTTACATTGAGACCATGACAAGGACATCTAGTCTTCCATTCTTAGGGGGCACGGGTGGCCCAGTCGTCTAAGGCGCCGTGATTAGCTGTGCAGAGTTGCGTCCCTTGGGCACGCCAGAAACCCATGATCGTGGGTTCGAATCTCGGTTTGCCCCAATTATGTTTCTAGGTTTGTCAGCATCACTTCAGGCTTTCCTCCCACATTAAGCTGACACGCCGTGATATAACTGGAATACTGTTAAAAGCGGCGTTTAACCCAACTCACTCACTCACTCACATTCCATTCTTCAATTTGTATGATTTTGGAAATGTTAGGGAAGATATGTCCATTCCTTCACCAGTCCCCAGTGGGGTTTTCTTGGAAGAATATACCTAAAACTTGTCGTGAGGGTCGAGTAAGAGGATTGGGCAGTCATTGTTGTGACTTGGCTTGAGTGTGACCCATTTCCCCTGACAGTGTGGATCGTATGTCTTGTTTATCACTGGTTTGTCCTAGCTCTGACAGGATTGCTTATGTTGTGATGGTAGAGCTGGACTCGCTAACCGGGGTTAAAACAACATTCAGTCTCCGTTCGACTCGAAACCGTTTGATTGATCTCTGAAATGTCGTTGTATTTGACAGATACTTGAATTGTTTTGGGGAGGAACTCCCTCTTTATCTCCAAAGGCGTCATTTTGGTAAACTTACACAAACCCCTGGATCCATTCCTGTGGTTCTCGCAATCTCAAATTACCTGCTCTTCATTTCCATTAACATTTTACTGACCAATCAAACATTGAGATAGGGAAAAGGCAATGGGTAAGGGAGGTAACTCGTATTGCCTAGAAACCGAAGCCACAGCCAGTTTAATGGACATGAAGACATCCTTTTCATGAAAAATAAAGATTTTTGAAGGCTTTATTTGGTGAGTCAGGCAGTTCTTTAATGATGAATTTCTCACAATCAGCTGGCCGCCAACATTGAGGCATTGAGGCTGGTGTGTAGCTGGAGGCTGATTGGTCCTGAGTAGCCTAACAAATCAAACTGGCCAATGAAAATCAAGGACAGGTAATTTGGGATCGCAGGAACCATGGAACTAGTTTTTTTTGTAGGTTTACCAAAATGCAAACCCTTGAGATATAGAGGAAGTGTTGAAAATTTGAGTTGAAGAGGCTGGAAAGATGACCTCTTGTTTCAGAAGGCATAACATATAAACAAATCACATGGTTTGACAGATTGGATCCACTTGGCAAATGTTGGTAAATTACTAAATAGCGCTAATCAGGACAAGGATCAAATCGAAATGTCTTACTGACCAGCGGATAAAATGAAAAGTCGGTCTCCTAATTTTGTTTACCAGGCCTCCTTGGGGATTCCGGGTTAGAATAAGTTCCACGCAATCTATGCTTTGTGGCATATGACCTGTTTTAATTGATAAGGTGGTCAGACATGGGGCCGAGATCTATTGCGTCGTTAAACAACTAACAAAACGTGTCATGCAGAATGCTCCGTTGATATCATTAAAAGTCCGCAAATTTTGACAATTATTTGCACCTACGTGATTATAGAAATTATTTGTTTCGCAGTTTCGTTTTTGCGAGTTGATTTTTACTGTTCCTTATGAATGTCTTCCTAAAATTCATTTGTTCAAAGATGAAGGTTTTCCTTCTGGAAGGTTTGTTGTGTCAAGGATCATTTTTGTGATACTGTATTCGACGTAATAAGCGCCCACGGCGATATTTGTTAATATATTGGCTAGTGAACAAACCCAATTAGCACCCCTTCCGATTGATCAATGTACACAAGACTTATTTATTTGCGTATAATACGCACTCATGTGTTATAAGCACCCTTAATCATGGGCAATTAAATTCTGGAAAAATATATCATCGGATATAAACATTTCAGGCTGTCAGCATAAACCACGAAATTGATCTTTTAACTCTGTTTTTTTTTCACCAAAATAATTGTTAATAAGAGCCCCCTATTTCTAATTTTGAGAGTGCCCTGGGCGCTTATTACGTCGAATATGGTATATGCTATTACAATGTACACATATAGATCATAAAGTCCAACTGAACCAAGGCTGTCTCGCAGTGCTTTTTTAAACAAAAACATTGTCATCCCCGTTTCTTGAACCAAAAGTCTGCGGTGGGGTAGCCTAGTGGTTAAAGTGTTCGCTTGTCACGCCACTGACCCAGGTTCAATTCCCCACATGGGTACAATATGTGAAGCCCATTTCTGGTGTTCCTCTCCATGCTATCCCTTGAATATTGCTAATAGCAGCGTAAATCCATACTCACTCACTCTTGAACCCAAAGTGCATTCTGCAAAACTTTTAGCAAAACTTACATCTGAACAAATAGGTTTCCTTCTTAGGTATTAGGTGGAACATTTATAATTATTTATTGAGGGTATGTATGATTTCTCTCAATGTTTCCCTAGCCATTTAATACACTCCAAAGCAAGTCCAGTGAGAAATATTTTCTCAATCAGACACATTTACCCTGTCTTTTCATAGAAGTATGGAAAATGTCCAAATAATATGTTCCACAAATCTCTCCCATCATTGTGCCATTGGTGTTAAAAACACTAGGGGCAAAGGGAATTTAAATTCTGGGCTGTTTGTAGATAAAGAGCCAATTACAGCCCTTAAATAGGTGCATGAGCAAAAATGTGCATAATTGTTTTTAAAGGATGTTAATTGTGGAGGCTAAGAATACTGAAGTCCAATAGGCTGCTGTGCTGTGCGTTATTGTCAGAGCTCCCATTGCACACAGGACTGGCCGGCCCGTAAAACAATGGTTGCCGATTCCTCGGGTCTGCACAGTGACCATTCACCATTGGCATTGATTACTCATCAGCGTTGTCAGTCACACGAAATTACTACATTGATTCCAGTCCCGGGGAGAAGGAAGCATGCTGGCGTGGCGTTAGGCAGGAGGCACGCTATGACTGTACTCATCATTCACGTTCTGGCACTACTGTTTGGACCTCTGTAGGGAGGAGCTGTTGGGGTTCTCGGGGCCGCTTTTGGGGTCTCGGAGCCGCCGTTGGGGTCTAGGGTCTGCTGTTGGGGTGTCAGGGCCGCTGTTGGGGTGTCAGGGCATCTGCTTGGTTCCCTGTGAACTTGTTTGGGTCCCTGTAGACTGTTGTGTTGGTCCCTGTAGACTGTTGTTTTGGTCCCTGTAGACTGTTGTTTTGGTCTCTGTAGACTGTTGTTTTGGCCTCTGTAGTTTTGGTCTCTGTAGACTGTTGTTTTGGTCTCTGTAGACTGTTTAGACTAATTAATGAGTGATTTTGGTAATTTGTTGCAAATTAGGTGTGCCTGAGTCGGAGTGCAAGACCGTCGGATTAACAGGTCTAAACAGCAGAAACAGGAGAAAGCCGATTGTCAGATTAATGAGACTTGACTGTATATTTGTCATTAATGTACCACTTTCTCTAGTCACGATATGGTTGAAATATGTGACGTTAAGTTTTAACTCACTCACCCAGTCTAGATCAAACTAGACAGCATGAGCAATGATCCATCAGGGTCCAGTGCCACCCAGGTCACACAAGAGACAACACTGGACCTGGATCTCCCCTGCAGGTCCCAGGACCAAATGTTGATCAGGGATAGAAATGCCCACAGGATCCATCTTCAACATTGGTGAAGGACATGCCATCATGAACTAGTTTTCTGTCTTTCATTAAAATTAAGGGGCGGTCGGGTAGCCTAGTGGTTAAAGCGTTCGCTCGTCATCCGAACACCCAGGTTCGAATCCCGATATGGGTACAATGTGTGAAGCCCATTTCTGGTGTCCCCTGCCATGATATTGCTGGAATATTGCTAAAAGCGGCGTAAAACCATACTCACTCATTAAAATTTGAAAATATCGTTTTCAGTTTTGGAATCCAAGGATTATTTTGTGAAAATACTACGGCTGGCTAAAAAAGATTGATAAATGAAATTATCGTCAATGAGAAGAAATATTAACGATTATCAATATGAAATAGTTGTAATCAATAATAACTTACATAAACTAACGTGATGAAATAAAGTTAAGATTTACTGAAATAGACTTCATGTTGTCATAATGTAAATTGTTGAAGACGGAAAACAGCTGCTTTTGCTGTATCTCGAATGTCCACAAAGTAATCTACGCACAATGTGTCACTACTCACCAGTGGCATGAAATAGGTTGATTTTTTTACGGGACTTTCTTCCATATTTGCTTTAAAGTTTCTTCTCCAATATTTATGAAAAATTGATCAATATTTAATTAGCGATTATCAATATATATGATCTATATTGATAGCCAGCCCTAGAAAATACTGTCCATTAAGTATGTCCATATGTTTATTGTCCATGTCTCTGTCCAATTTCCGTTTTTGTGAATTGCCTACAAATATATTTTCTGTGACCTTCAAACACGATAATCTTATTATGTCTTAACGTCATCAGAGCGCGAGTAGTAGCTCCCTTGGCTAATTATCAGACTGCCACGAGAAGTTATTTTGTAGTGGTATACTGTCACACTGGGACATTATCAGTTGTTTTTCTTCGGTTGTGAGTTATTGTCGTTCATATTGGGACAGACT